GGCTGATGGAACTATTTGTGTGTGTGTTTCACTTTTATTTTTAATGTATTTTAGATTGTTTTATTGTAATTTAATATTTATTCCTGTTTTATTGTGAATCGCCCGGAGTCACTTTTTGTGAGATGAGCAGTCTCTAAATTTGAAAGATAGATAGATAGATAGATAGATAGATAGATAGATAGATAGATAGATAGATAGATAGATAGATGATAGATGTTAGATAAAGTATTGAAAACTTCCAAACCAGTGTGTCTATATAAGGACTTTGAATAGTTACTAGATTCACAGCATTACTTTTTATAGAAAGATAGCTTGAAAAATCTCAATTGTAATGGTTTTGGGTCCAAATGAGGCTGGCATCATTTTCAGCACTCCCTTTTGTCTGTTTGTTTATTTTTACAAAAATATATGATGTCAGTAGGAAAAATAAAAAAGAAAAAGAAAACTAAATAAGGATGAGCAAACAGGTTTATGCAACTTCACGCTGTTATAGTGAGATGGGTATGTGATTATAGTTGTAAGATATAAGCATCTTGGTTATATAGCAAGTGCAGGGCTATCAATAAGATGCCAGAAAGCAGGAAAATTGGATGGTAGAACTCAAAAACTAAAATTCAAATATACAGAAGTTGGAGTAGAGGAAGATCCTATGAAATGTTTCCTTTTAAAACCCTTCTGAACTTCAACAATATCTCTTTCTGAGCATGATCCCAATATATCTGTCAGACATCATACTCAGGAAGTCATAGACCTAGTTAGTGGGATTTTATAAGGGGATACATTTTGAAAAACTAAAAATGTTTAGAACAATATGAAAATGAGACAAGAGCATTCCTCTTCTTGGTGAAAAATAGTACAAAACCAATAACCAAATAAAGATCTGCAATGAATGTTAGCCATTCTTATGAAGATAAAGGGACAAGATAACTTTTATGGGAGCAGCAGCTGCAACAGCTGGGAACTGGAACTGGAATTGTAGAAATATCCCCCCCCCCCAAAAAAAAGCCTAACTAAAGATGTATAGAACACAAAGCATGGGGCAGCTCACCCCAGCTTTTTGCTCTACAGATATACTTGAGCCAGAGATTTTAATACAGTATATGTACCCCACATGAAGAAGACAATGGCTCTTCTTCATGGAAATATGAAAATCTCACAAACATCTTCCGGGGATCAGTTAAACATAGCAGGTGTGTAATTTTGCTTTGCATCAACAGATAGAGTGAGATATCTTGCAATATTCCAAGAAGCTGATTTACCTTCCATGACTGCTCTTGAACAGGTTTCCATGTCACCCCTGATCTTTGCTGGTTTATAGATGAATAGAGGGCATGCAAAGCATGTGCAACAACATAGACAGCATTGTAGACACTGTAACTGTGGGCAGTCATCCTTGTTTCAAACATGGTTACAGGGAGAGTCTCCAGCTTCTCCTCTCCAGTGC